GAAAACCCACGTTGACGTACTTCTGCAGAGCAGGTACGGTTTTCTTTTTTTAGACGACTTTTCTAGGGGTGACACCGTCGAGAGCGAAGATGTTGATATAGTTCAGATCATTTTGGAAAATAGTCTTGATTAACCCGGCATCTATAGGATCACCGAAACCGTAGCCCCTGAATGGACATGGAACTCAGCACCGTGAGCGATAAATGTTATATTTTGAATGAAACAGGTACTATGTATGTTTCGAAAGAGTAATTCCATTGCAAATTAACATGCTCGATCGAATCATGCTCGCTCTTTCATAAGTTACTGTTAGAAAATCATATTGCGTTTTCTTAACTACCGTTAGCTTTGATTTTGTTCTTCGGCGCTGTAAAGCAAATAGTGAAGAAAGAAATGAAATGATCATACTGCTGAAACAGCGTTGCCCTTCCATTCTCATCAGTTGGATCTTCCTTGTACATACATCGACCGTTCATAGTTTCTATAGCAGCCTTTTCCAGGGTACAGCTCCATGCCTCAAATAGTTAAGATGTATAATAACTAGTTTCTTCCTATCCTACGTTGTTAGTGATATGGTTGCGAAGAAAATGGAAAATCTAGCGTCGCTATAAGGAGACACAAGTTTAAGGAGCATGTGCAATAATCTAGCCTAAAAAAAAGGATTTATTATAAGGAAAGGGTCACAAGGGGCCTAGATTTTCACCATATATCCAAAAATGAACACCAAATAGGGTATATGTCATCAATTTTGTGTGCTAAAGGATAGTTCATACAACATGCGCGCATCATCTTGCGTCGTACGCACGAATTTACTCGAAAAAAAAAACTCAAGAAATAGAAACGTCAGAAGTATGCACCGTATGTTTAAATGACTGAATGTAAATGTATATGATTATGTCAGGAGCAGAGCGATATTTGCCGTGGCTATGGGGCGTGCTGGTCGTGCACTGAATTTACCAAGTACCACACCTATGCCAGTGCTGGATTTCTATCGTGAAAAATCAAAGTCTTCTCAAGTAACCAAGGAGGTGAAAAGGTTTGCTGTTCGGTCAAGTCTAAATCTACAACGTTGCCACTTAATATCCATGCTTCTTTCAGCATGATTCAGCCGCATTTATTTACGACTTTCCTTCCTGAGGTCTAACTTCTCAAACTCTTTTCCTGCTGTTTCTCAACTGTTCACAACTGCCCAGATGCGTCCGCCCTCATCTTCTTTCACAAACTCGGATCTCCGAATCGGGATAGGAAATCCTAGGCTATCACAAGCGCAACGGCCTTTCCTGGGGTCTATCTTCAATTTTGAGGTGTACTCTAAGCATTAGTAAATTAATCCACTTTTCCTTGTCATTACGGTGCAGATCGGCATGTGCTAGTGATTTTACGGCTATTTTAGGCTTTCACCTCTTTTGTCAAGGCGTTATTCAGAAGTATGAAATGTTGTGTGTTGCCCATGAAATGTGAAAAATATGAAATGTTGTGTGTTCCCACAGATGTGACTCCTCATATTAGCTTAGTTTTGAGAGAGGCAAGAAAAGATCAATCACCTACGAGAAACAGAGATAAAATCAGCGTGCGAAGGGATTTGAATGGTTACCTAATAAGACAAGAAACCTATCCTTTTATGTTCCTTTATGTCTGTCTACGCTTGGAAACAAAAGGAGTGGTCTGTGGTCTATTTCTATGGAAAGAAGGGCCATAAAGGAATCTAACAAAGCCATAAAAATTGTGAAGAAGACTTTTAAAAACCATGAAGAAACCATGTTCATCCAATAATATGTATTGATAGAAGCAAAAATTCACTAGTGAATTCTTACTATCACTGGGTAGGAAAAATCACGTCAAAAAACCCTAACCAACTAAAAACAGGGTAAGATAAAAGTGTTATAATCTATGTAGATTGTGAGCCCATGACATTTACGCCTAACCACTACTGCTGTTTTGCTTCATAGATCTGATGTGATCCACTGAGGAAACGATAGCTCACCAATTTTGTCATACCCTTGGCTGCTGGCAAGTTCTTACCACCATCGCCATTTTTCTGCTTGCCTGCGGTCAATATCCGTCGAGCTTCATTCACGGGATTGAGAACATACTCGTTGATTTGGGATCGTTCTAGCTTGCCCCTCCGACAGAATGATCCTGAAGCAGGAGCTTTCTAACTAAGTAATTTACTGCGTATAGGAGAGGTCTATGTATGGTAGGTAGAAAAGGGTGCCCACCGTTACAGAAAGCAGGCAGAAGAGAGCTAACGGCAAAGGCTATGAAGCAGAATTTGGCCATCTCTGGACGAATTCCTCAGACGCGCACCGTTTTATAGTTAGAGATCGCTTTGATTTAAACGTGATTTTATGGATTATGTTCGTCGTAAGCGGGCCGTCTATGCCGTATTCCACAGCATGAGAAACATGGAAAGAATTTTTCACTACCATTCCTTGAGCTATGTTTATGAATTTTCAAAAAAAAAAAAGAAACCTACTACTACGGGTGTGTTTATGTTCTAGGCCAGTTGCCTTTACTTAGTCGCCGATACTGCTGAGGAATCCAGCTATCCATCTTCTTAACCTTATAATTTTTCTTCGAATTATAAGATGCAGCGACCAACGGCTAACATCCTCACCTTATTCAGCTAACTCTTTCACTTCGTTATCAAGGTTAGAAGGCCGTCCTGCTCGTGAAGAATTTTCTCAGCTCCCTTTACTGAACACACAAATGCCAAGAACCAACGTACCACCGCTTATTTCAAGAAGGTGCCCTTCTGGTGCCCTGAAACTCACAGCCAGAAATTGCCGTATTTACATCACCAGGAAGTTCTTACATGGACGGCGAAATACTACCAAAAATGGCAATTCACTACCTGGAATTCCCATAGTTAAACCTGTACGAGCAATTTCAGCTATGAAATGGCTGCGAATCTAATTAAAGCTAACATAATCTGTATAAAATGCTTGGATGTGTAAGCATTTTATATTTACAGCATTTCCAAAGTACCGCGGATGTCGCTGAACAGCATGATCACTGCTCTTTGACGCAAGTACGTCCTAGCGTGCATCTTTCCTGTCATCTGCTCCTACCTATAATATTAGGTTTTTTTCGGTAAAGTACAGGGCCCGAATGCATCACTGAGACCACCTGTGGTAAACGTTTTATAGTACCCGAGTTCACCCTTTGCCTTGTACACCAACATGTCTACTCATAGGTGACGGTATCTGCACTCAAGCGTTACCCATGATTCTTACCCACTTTCCAATGATACATTCGTGCTCAGATGATGAGAATTGGGTCATATGTATATGAAATCACAAGCTGATGCGACATCGGATCCGGCGAACCTCTGATTTGACTACGTTCTTCGGGGGAAAGGTTTTCCATTTTCTTCTTTCCGGAGTTATTACTAAATTTTTTTAGCAAGTGTAGATTATAGCGCCTTTTATACTAAATTCGCGCCTGCGTAAGCAATGTGACTACATGATGAAGGGTAGCCCGAGACGCACACCTGACGCAGTTCAGACGCGTAAAGCATGTTGAACGTTAAAGGCAGCGTCCCACTTTGAAGTCGTTTTTGAGATTTCAACGTTAAAAGAATCCTTTGGGCGGAGCCAGGGGCGGAGCCAAGTAACTTTCCGAATAATCACTTCAGAAGGCGCACCTCCTGAGGAAATTCGCATCCCTCGTAAGAGTTCCTCATCAAATCCCTAACGGAATAGAAACTGCGCTTCATGTGCGGCGAGCAAGCGAGTACGTGGTGCGGAAACCCTGCAATCCCACATTGGCTCCAGAACAAGGGCGGCATTGCAGGGTTTGCGGACTGTGAACTCCTTTGCTAGTCATAATTGGAGCGCAGTTTCTATTCTATTAGGGAGTGGATGAGGGACTCTCGCGAATAGTACAAATTTCTCCAAAAGTTGCGGCTCCTGGAGTGAAATACTCGGAAAGTTACTTGACTCCGCCCCCTGCTCCGCCAACATGCTCCTTAAGAATTGGGGCTCGGAAATGGGGTTCTTCAGCAGTTTTGCATGGAATCACGTATACCGTTGTGATCACCAGCTCCTAGAGGTTTTTTTTCAACTTTAAAATCTCAGAAACGATTTGGAAGTGGGACGCTGCCTTTAACCATCCCTTCATGAATTGAGCAAAGAAAACTTCTAAGAATTTTGCACCAATCCAGACACATGTTCAATACACCTATAGTGACCCATAAACGTTGATTTTCGACAAAAGGAATAAGAAATAGGTTTTGCTCTCGTAATGCGTACGCTAAAAACCTATACGTATAGTTGCGAAGGTACGTCACGTATTAATTGAGTTTACAAAAATAATAACTTTACGTCTTCTAAGGGTGTTCTCTGAAGCAATGGATTGAAAATAGCGTCTTCTGCAGAAAAAATACAAAGTTCTCAGGCTTTACCTTGCCTACCCCAAGATTTTACATTTGTTTTAATAACTTCATGGAGTTTAATATGACAATATTGCTATTCCGACGATTCCGACATAGTTTCACGTATTTATTTGCCGAATAGTTTACTCATTTATTTATTTAATTGTGTAGATGGTTATTCACTCACTTGTTTAATTATCTACTTATTTATTCAACTACTCATTCTTCTTTTCCTTATATGCCGATAAAGTGCTCATAGCCAGTCAAAGAGGTGATTTTCACTTCATGTTCGTCAACGAGACCGAGCACGTCTCCTCTGCCTTTTTCTCTGCGCACTCCTCGGCGAGAGACATGCAGCTGTGCGCGAGACAAGTAGCCCCGCGAAATGTACGACACTGCCGTATTGGCAGAGACAGATCACATCTCAGGTGTTGGTTTTAACCCAGTATCACAAGGTACTAAGGGGATTCTGACCTGCCACGTGCGGCTGCGTCAAAAACCTCAATTTTTGGAGCGCCTTTCCGGGGATATCCGGAAGGGCAAAAATCCGGAAACAGTGAATGGAATGGTAGGCTTTCGGGCGAGAAACACAGTTAAGCATAATTAAGTTCAAATATAATTAAATTCATGTAGTAATTAATTACTAACTATCAATTAACTGTGAACTTTAAATAATCCAAGGGTACTATTCCACATTAGGGGCCCCAAAATTTTACAAAAAAAATTTCGCCGAAGCTTTGTATATTGAGGTTATCTGAGGTGCTGAACACGAATATCGTATTCATTCTGTACCGTAACCCCATTTTTGTGTGATTACGGTAGGTACATGGCAGGTATGGTATCTCACAGAAACCTCTCGAAGTTCGCGTATAGTGGTTATGTTAGGAGCTGATCACGATTATCAACTTTATTTTGCATGCCACTTTCGTTTTCTACCCAAAATCGGCGTTTTCTCCGAATTTGCTGCCGTGTACCTACCGTATCCATGCGAAAATGGGGCTACAGTACAAAACGGGTACGATATTCGTGTTCAGCATCTGAAATAACCCCCTTGTGCAAAATTTGAGCGAATTCCATGAAGTGCCGTATCTATAATTACCCTGCCGTAACCCTGCAAGAATGAGGTTGCGGTATAGAATGAATACGATATTCGTGTTCAACACCTCAAATAACACTCCTATACAAAGTTTCGGTGAAAAAATTTCTTGAAAATTTTGGGGCCCCTAATGTGGAATAGTGCCCTTTGTAGTTTGACTGTCATCATACCTCTATACACTACACATATACCGCGTTATTAACCTTAGCTATGTATCACTTCATTGTATATTTAACATTTTGCAATTTTTTAAATGTTCATGTTTTATTTACCGAGGCTTGTCGTATTAGGAGAAGCGCTGTCCGCAATTACATCCTAATGATGTGATTTTAGGGATACGTTGGGTAGCAAAATAAATAACCTTTGAATGTTCTTAGAAAAGATTGTGGAAAAATAGAAGCCCTTCAAAATCATCGTCTGGATTTCCCGCGCGATCCACATTCTACGCTGGACCTTCTCCGCATTTCTTATGAGGAACACATGGTACCAGAACTCTCCCCTCAAATTTCTCAAGAACAAACTGTGAAACAGGAAAACATTCGAAAAATTGATCAAACAACAAAACATGAAAAAAAATTGCAGTAGAACGAAGGAAAAGTTTTATGTCGAATGATGTGTGCGCGAAATTTTAACAGTTACTTTTAAGGCAGAGAAAAAATCCAATCTCAAATTCTAGAGCGCATTAAAAGCACTGCGAAATACTCGTATTTTGCGAAATTCGAGATTGAAAGTTCGAAACCCAAGCACTGTTTTTTCCGTCTGCGATCATTATCACCACTATAATGATAACCCTGTATTACTGCACCCAGTTAAAATATGTATACAACAAACACCTGGGCCCGTCTCTGAGGCGTTCAGTCCTCATAGAGCTGAACAAGACAAGCCTACCTTTAGAATAACTTTATTTGTGGGGTAGCAGTTAAATCGGACAGGTTTGCAGGCAAAGAAAGTCAGTACGGGACAATTCTGGGAGCAGAGCAGTCTTCGGACACTTCCCACCCGCACGCGTAGCGTCAGGCAGGTTTTGCGTATTTGAGCTTGGGGAGTAACAGCTGAAAATGGTCGAAAAGATGCCCTAAATTACTCTAGCACCTTACTAGTCACTTGAGATCAGAGATGACTTGTCTTTCCTGAAAAGGAACCCAGAACGGCGAGTTTCTATACACTGTTTTACAGGAGCCTGACGCGCGAGGGTGGTAAGTGTCCAATAATCGAACACAGGATATTGGGGGTTCTGATAAGGAGCAGATCATTCTCTGTCTATCTATCAGTGGCGGACGCAGAAAGTGGGCGGGGGGGCGGGGGGGGGGGGTGCGTG